TGGATCCAACGCCTGGGCTCATAGTCACCACACATCCCTTCTGCGACCCTGTCTCTAGAAGTTCTTCTCTCACTTCCCATTTGCTTCCTTAAATTTGATACCATATGATCTCACTTCAATGTGGGCTCTAATGAGCAAACTAGAACCAGAGGCATGGATACAGGGAACAGACTGGCAGATGTCAGAGGGAGATGGGTGGGGCAGACGGGATGAAAGAAGGTGAAGAGATTAGCCAAAGAACATGTATGCAGCGTGGTGATGGTCAGAGGGAGTGGGGACAGGGGCTGGGTAGAGGTGGGTAAAGGTGGGGGGGGGGGGGAAATGAGGGACATCTGTAATAGTGTCAGCAATAAATTTTTAAAAAATTGTCACAGGAGAAGAAACAAGATCACCAGCTTATTAGAATCTGTGCAACGTAATAATAAATAGGAGATGGGATGGAAATATTGGGAGGATGATAGCTAAAAGGTATAGGTTTCTTTCGGGGATGATAAAAATATTCCAGCCCTAACTGGTGGTGATGGTTGCATGACTCTGCAAATGTAATAAAAACCATTGAATTATATATCTTAAATGGGTGGATAGTGTGTTATATGGATTACATCCCAATAAAGTTATTTAAAAAGAAGAAATAGGAGAGGCCAGAGAGCACTAATGTGTATTTTGGTTGCTCAGAAATTTTTCGTGTTGTCAGTGTTGGCTGTTTCAACTATGTACTTGTTAGGTGAACTCGGGCTAGGTAATATGAAGAGATTCAAAGTGAACAAAAGATAGCTTCTGGGCACCACCGGGCTTTTCCTGTCTTCTTGTCTTTGGCTCCTGATGACTTTGATTCCATAGATTGCCCACCCCTCCCTCACACTGTGAGCCATCCCCCCAACCCCCCTCCCAGTGGAGACCTGGACAATACCATCTTCCTAAGGAGGGGGGACCCTGCAGCAAGCCATCCCTGCTGGCCTCCTGACTGGGGCCTCGCCTGTAAAAACACGTGCTTCTCCCAGCAGCCTGGGCACTGGCTTCCTGGACTCAGCCCCCAATGCTGGAAGGGAGACCTCTGGGCCCAGTTCAGTTCTTACAGCCACTGGAATCCTACACAGCAAGCCACTGCGTTCGGCGCTCATCTTTCTTATTCACAGACCAAGTTTTTCTTTGTAAGAAGCTGTTTTACTTCCTGGTTCTATCTTATGCTTTTACAGTAGACTTAGAAGAGTCCTTTTTTTTTTTTAATACAAGAGAAAAAGAATATGGTTGTAAAAATAAAAAATTTAAAAAGCCTTCTCCAAGCACCAGGAATATCCAGGCTTAGAGTAGCCAGGGCGAGGGAGGGCTTTTCCCAAACTGGAAGCCCCATGTCACAGTTTGAAACAAATCCACTGACTGCAGACTTGGAGGCCAAGGGGGGCTTCTTGCAGGAAAGCTTCCTGTCACCGTGTATACTCAGAATGTCAGGGAGGAGCTGGAGATGAAGAGGAGGCTGGGGAGAGGGTTCCTCCACTAAACTGGTCACACATGAACATTTGCATAACGGTACCTCTGCTGAGCAGTGAAACAGAAAGACAAAATTGGGGGTGCACAGCCCCAGAGGACACTGAGACATCGGCCAGGTAGTCCAGGGACCAGGCTGTCACTGGCAGAAAAAAAAGCCAGGGGGTAGGGTAGAGCTTCGGCCCAGTTTCTCTCCATCTCATTCAGAAGCAACCAATTATATATTGGGGAGCCACACCCATGTCGCTCCAGTGCCTACGATGGAGCCAAGGACCCCACCCCACCCCTAACAGTGGGAGAGGCTCCTGGGCAAAGTATGGGGTTCTGCATTCAAAAGACATGCGTTGTTGTTTTTAATGCTCCTTTTTAAAGGTCTTTCATTGATTGCTGATTTTTTTTAATGTTTTAAAATTCCCATATATTGCCAACACCATAATAAAAGTGTTTATTTCTTGACAATCTTTTTACATATTTCACTATGATATATGTATGTACACTTGACTAGGCTTATTCCAAACCTCTTCCTTTGTTTCCACAGCAAAAGACGTGAGTTTTAGTCCCTGCTCTGTCACTTACTTGCTACGTGTCCTTGTGCAAATTAACTTCCCTGAGCCTTAGTTTCCTAATCCGCAAAATCGAGGTCATAAGAATATCCACTTACTAAGATGCAGGGATTACAGAAGGAAGGTAAACTGGGCAGCCCAGCACTTCACCCATGGCACGAGGCAGCTGCTGTTACGGCCCCTCTCCATCTCAGCAGCAGGAGGTTGGATAGGGAACACATGCATGGGGTTTACTGTGACCCGGGCCCTGTCCTGAGCCTTTTACAGCTGTTAACCCCCTCATTCCTCAGGACACCTCATGAAAGCAACAACTATTACCATCCTCATTTTATAGATGAGGAAGAAACAGGGCACAGAGAGGTTTCTTAATTTGTCCCGGGGTCACAGAGCTCACTGGTGAGTGGCAGAACACAATGGTGCCGGGAGCTGTGGCCACCCCGACGCAGCATCTGTGGTGAAACAGGGGAAACAGGACCTCTTTCCTCTGCTGCACACCCACTGCTCACCAACACAGGCCGAGTCCTGGGCTGGATCCCGGGGTGCAGTGGGAGCCAGATACACTCCTCAAGGAGCTTCCAGTCTAAAGGGAGGCACACCATGACCACCGCAACCTAAGACGTAGGGACAGAACAACATTTCTGGAGAGGAATTTGCAGAAGAATTTCTAGAATCACAGAGCATCATTTGCACTTGGAAGAAGATAGGAAACAATCTCTTTTTACAGATGTCTGGCCCAGTGTCTCTCTGTAATGGAAACTGGAGTCAGAGACCTCTTATTTTTGGTAATAATAATAATAATAATAATAATTGCCAGGACTCCTCTTTACTAATCCTCTAAAGCAGTGGTTCTCAACCTGTGGGTCGAGACCCCTTTGGGGGTCGAACGACCCTTTCACAGGGGTCGCCTAAGACCATCAGAAAACACATATATAATTACATATTGTTTTTGTGATTAATCACTGTGCTTTAGTTATGTTCAATTTGTAACAATGAAATTGGGGGTCACCACAACATGAGGAACTGTATTAAAGGGTCACAGCATTAGGAAGATTGAGAACCACTGCTCTAAAGGCTCATTCAAAAGACACAGAAGGTCCTACAGACCAGTCAGCCCATGAAGTCTCCATCTGAGAAGCCAGGGCGGTGGGACAAGGGTCTCTACAGTCATGCCCTTCTTTGCCCACCAGGGATGACCATGCTGCTGAGCCTGGGGCCACCCCTCCTCTCCCAATACAAGGCTGGCACTCAGAGTTGGCCGATGGCACCAGCAACCCCTTCACTTCACGGGCTCACAGCCCCTCTGAGGAGAGAGAGCATTTATTTTCTGGGTGGTGAAGCTCTGTTCTTGCCTTTGTACCAATACTCAACGTTTTACTTCTTTCCAAAAAAAGTTAAGGGAAGACTGAACCAAGTCTTCCCTTACTCCACCAAGAAAGGAAAGGACTTGCCTTTCAAAATAAGGAGGTGCCTTAGGAAGAACCTAATCGCAGAAGAGACCCCAGTTCCATTCCGTTAGCTATTGAAGTCTGCAGTATGGTGGCCAGGCAGGCGTCCAGCCAGAGCCCCACTGGACACTTCATCAAAGGTTTTTACTCTTTGATGCTGCCCTCGCAGGTGAGATAAACTGTGAGAGGGTGAGGGCTTCCCACTGCACTTGGACCAAGATCCAAACTTCTTATCGGGGAGCACAAGGCCAGTCTGATCTGATGCCTGTCCTGGCGCTTGCTTACCCCTTTAACCACACCTCTACCCCACATGGGCCTTGAAGATAGAGGGCCTTTGTGCGGCTCTCACCAGCTCTGCACATAGCTGGGTCCTTTACACCCTTTACATCCTTTACAGCTACAATGTCACCTCCTCCAAGAAACCTTCCCTAACGACCCCTTCTGAAAACGGACTATCCCCCACCCCCACCCCACCCATGCACACACACCTTTTCTTCCTCTCTCTCAAACTCCTATTCATCTCCTTCAGAGCCCCTGGCCTGGGCCTGGACCTGTGTGTCTTCAGATTCACTCCTCACCTTCCCCTGTGTTCCCCTCTGCGTCAGCTGCCTTCTGGCTAGGTTTGGCCAATGGCAACCACGGGAGAAAACTGGAAGGTGCCATAAGGATTACAGCCAGGTATCTCCTGCGTCTATCTCTACCTTGGGAAGCATCTCTGCAGCTGTTGCCTTTCCTCCTTGGCTCCAGTGTCCATGGGAAAGGCCACCGCAGTCCCAGCTTCTCCACCCTGGGCTCCAGCAATGCCACCTCTTTCCACTGACTCTCCAGCTGACGGTGGTAGCTGCTTCCTACTGTGCCCAATCTCTGGGTGGTCCCCTCCCCCCTGCTTGTTTTCTCAGTTCTCTACCACCTCTGTAACCAACTCCCTGAATGAAATCCTATTTCCAGTACTCACATGGTTTCTGTTTTTCTGATTAGACCTGACCAATACTACACATAATTTGTCCATTTTTAAAAATTAATTTTTCCATTTACTTAATTACTGCCTAGACCACTGTAAACGCTACAGGGGAGGGACTACATCTATCCTTTTCTTTATTATATTCCCATTGCATGGCATAGGACCTGGTAAACAGTGAGCTGAGTTAATTAATAATGCAAAGTACTTGTCAAGTGATGAAAAGAAGTAAAATTGGTATTTCCCAAGAATCCTAAAATTTACAAAAAGAAAATAGAAATTTCATTTGGAAATAGTGTGCATTTATATACTTGGTTCATTATTAAAACAACAGCAAAGAGAGAGCGAGTTTTTTATCTTTTCAACTAAAGAGACACACCGAAATGTCCTTCATGAACTAAGTGATGGTCAAGTGGTTTTGGCTAAGAAGTAAGCTCAGCTCCCAGGGACAGGCCAGTTCCCATGAGCCACCTCAGCTCGGGACAAACGTCCACAGGCGGCCTGGGTCTGCACAACTGTGCACACGACAGCTGAGTCGTGGGGACAAACCTTTTCACAGTCTCCACCGACTCCTGCTCCGCCAGCTCCTTCTGCAGCTCCCTCTCCTTGGCCTCCTTCTGGCCGATGGGGCAGTCCTCGGGGACGGTGAAGAGGGACAGGGCATCTTTGCTGTCCTCTTCTCGGAGCACTTTAGCGAACACCTTCTCGGCCAGGAGCCGGACTTGCTCATCCACCTCAGAGATGTTCAGCTTGGGGAACTGGCGTGGCATCTCGGCTAAGAGAGAAAGAACGAGCATTAACCTTCACGAATTACTGGGTGGCCGGGGTCACCGTGCGGGGAGGAGAAGGTACTGAAATAAGGGCCAGGCCCCCCGTCCGTGGGGTCAGCTGCCTACTCAGGATTTTCCCTGACAAAACCCAGCATGCCAATGTCTAGAACTAGCTCCACAAGTAGCTGGATGTGAAGAGTGCAGGGCCAGTTGCATTCCATGAGAAAGCAAGTGTTTGGAAGTCAAAGAACGGACTGTCGCTAAGTATGCTCCATTGACCTGAACTCAGGACCCGAAGCACACCCACAGCCCTGCCTTTCCCGGCTCTGTTTCCGTGGGGGAGAAGGGAGAGGTCAGCACCCTCCTCCCGCAGACTGAGGAGGCCATTCCAGGTGCAACAGTGACCAAACCTCATTCCCACTGCACAGAGGGGAAGCCCGAAGCCCAAAGGGTTTGATGATTATATTAAGGTCCCACGAGGACAACAGCAGAGCCCTGGGGAATCCCAGGCTGCATTCCTCTTCACATGAAACAAGGCCGTTTGCTGAAAAGAAAGAGTTTTCAATCACGGTTCCACAGTCTTCCAAGTCCTCTGGAACTTCGAATAAGACACGACAAATACAATACAGGAGTCCCCCACCCCCCAGATCTATGGGGAATATGTTGCAAGACCCCCAGTGGAAGCCAGAAACCCCAAATAATACTGAACCCTATATATACTATGATTTTTTTAAAATATATTTTTATTGATTTCAGAGAGGAAGGGAGAGGGAGATAGAAACATCAATGGTGAGAGAGAATCATTGATAGGCTGCCTCCTGTATGCCTCCTACTGGGATCGAGCCCAAAACCCGGGCATATGCCCTGCCTGGGAATAGAACTATGACTTCCTGGTTCCTAGGTTGATGCTCGACCACTGAGCCACACAGCTGGACAATATACTATGACTGTTTTATACATGTGTACCTCTGATTAAGTTTAATTTATGAATTAGGCACAGGGGGAGATTAACAACAATAACTAATATTGAAAATAGAAATAGAAAAATAGAAAATTATAGCAATATACTGTAATGAAAGGTATGTGAATAAAAATTATGTGAATATCTTTGGGGCCATTATTAAGTAAAATAAAGGTTCCTTGAACACAAGCACCGTGACACAGTCAATCTGATGACGGAGACAGCTAAGTGACTAACGGTGGGAAGCATCTACCGCGTGGTGACGCCGGACAAAGGGATGATTCACATCACAGGAAAGACAGAGCAGGCCCACACGAGATTGCATCACGCTGCTCAGAGTGGCATGCCATTTAAAATATATGAATTGTTTATTTCTGGAATTTTCTATTTAATATTTCCATATCACAGATCACCATGAGTAAGTAAAATCACAGGAGGTAAAACTGTAGATAAGGGGGGGACTATTGTAAAGGTTTGGAGACAGGAAAACTTTTTATCTTTCGCAGCCCAGCTGAAAAGTCAATTCCTGTAAGAGGCGTGCCCTATCCACTCCCTGCACTGGCTGGCCTACATCACCTGGTTAGTGCCTTTCTTTTCTGTTTCTCTGCCTTTCTGTTTTGTTTTTTTCTAACACTTAGATAGCACTTATTAAGTGCATTCTGCCTTTATATTTATTACATCTGTTAATCCTATTATTGCCCTTTTACTGATGACACCATGAAGGCACAGAGAGCTCATTGGCCAGTGAGCAGAGACGTATGCTGTTCTCAGCCATGGCTCCCCTGTCCTGTTCCTCTCTGAGCCTCTGCACAGGGATTTGAACCCAGCACCTGGTTCCATTTGTACCTTTAACCTGCGACGCTGTGCCCATCTGGGTGTCAGGTGGACATGCAGCATCACACTTAGGGAATAGGTGAATGCTGCATCCTTTCAACAGCCACCTCACTGGGAGTGGCTCTGGAAGAAGAGCTTCCTGTCCATCTATCTCCATGGTTTCTCTAGGGAAGGTTTAAAGAGAGAAGTGGCTTTGTCAGCCCAACAGATGAGGATGAAGGTGAGACGGTGCCCAGTTGGTGTCTGGCAGGGAGAGGAAGCAAATGCGGGGGAGGAGGGACTCACTGAGCAACCTTGGGACAGACATTCTCCGCATCTGCCGGTTTTCTCAGCTGTGAGAAAAGGGACTAGACTAAGCGGTCCCCAGGGCCTCCTCAGCTCCGAGTGCCTTAATTCTAGGTTCCAGAGAGGTTTCCACTGCCCTGGAGGCCTGCTGCCAGGTCTTCTCTGCAGCACGTGGGTCTCATTCATGACACAGACAGGAAGGAGACAAGCACGTTCCTAACGGGCAGTAAAGAACATCTGTGGGCCCCCTTAACTGCGAAACCAATTTCCTCCTTCCCTCCACACCGGGACCCTGCCTTTCCTGGGCCCCTCTCACCGTTAGGGGGTTGAGTGGGAGGGAGCTGGTTAGGACAGAGGAACCCCAACACACCACTGCTAGTCTGTGGTGGCGGAGATCAGGGCAACAGCACAGGCCTGGCCTGCAAAGAGGAAGAGCATAGCTGTCTGGAGATCACCACGTCCAACAGCAGAGAGAAGGGGAAGCTGGACCCCATCAGAGCAGAGGCTGGGAGAAGGGGACAGGGGAGAGAAATGAAGAGAGACAGGGAGCCAGATCCAGAAGGAGCCGTTAGGTCAAAACGAATCTGGACCTTCACCTCCCCCGTCTAACACCACAGGTCAGGGGCTACGTTTCAAAACCTCACCTCTCAGAGGGAGACATCCTATAGGCCCCAGGCAAGGAGCAATCAAAGCCAAGAGACACCCATACCACTTAACACTCCCCAGAAACGACTTACAAGAAAAGAATCTGAAGGAAGGAAAATACACATGAGGTTTGCACGCGCAGCTTTACAATGTCTGCATTAGAGCAGACTCGCTTGAAAAAAAATGTTAAGCAACCAAAATTGTCATTAAGAGGACAATACAGCCACATGAAAATGTCTTACAAAATAATAGTAAGTAGGGAAGGAAATAAATACATAAAACGATGCCCAGGCTTGGTCGCAAAGATCTGAACATGTAGCCAGGCCCTGGTGGACAAGGGCTGTAAAAGAGAGACATGCACTCAGATGGCCAGATGGCAGGACTGCCTGTGGGAGAGGCAATGTCTGATTCTGATCATTAATGCTGTTATACCGTCATTTTAACAAACACAAAGGAAACGGAGACTGAAGAGTTTATAAAAATGAGAGAAAAATAGAAAAACAAACTGTAACATTGCAGGTTTTGACAGTTAAGGTCCTCCCCCGCCGAACACACCCCAGGGAGGCCAGCCCGAAAGGAATCGCACCACTGAGACCCATCTCTGCATGAGCTCTCACCCTGAACAGAAGCTGCCCACCACCCCGCTTCCCATCCCCTACACCTAACCCCACAAACACACACCAGCACACACCCCAGGCCCCCTCGGGAATGGGCATGGGGGGGGGTCCTTTGTGCCCGAGGGCTCTGATGCCCGATCCTGCCATGCTTTTCCATGAAGCATCTTTAGCTTGCTCAAGCCAACAAAAGGTATTTTTCAGGATGCATCTTTCTACAAAAGATCCCCCTCTTTCTTTAGCTTAAATCAGCCTTTTCCAAACCGGGTCCCTTAAGATGCCCATACCTATTGCTGGTAGAACAGGTCCTATAGTCAAGTATTAGGGAGATGCTACACCCTACAGCCCTTCCACCTAGATTCACAAGGCACATCAAAGACTCAAGGCACGGGCACATGGGGAGGAAAGCCCGCTCTGCAGGTGCCAAGCAGAGCTGTAGCTCCAGCTGCTTGTTCAAAGCTGGCTTTCAACTTTCTGTCAGCCACAGCCAGCAGGCGTGGGAGGCTTCGCTGGACTCACCGGCACTGGCTCGTGATACAGCTTATCTCACCCTTACATACGACACCCCACCATGCGTCTGTATAAGTGCCTGGGTTAGAAAGCTGTAAAATGCCACCAATTTCAACAAACAGGAACTGTTCATGGCACCACAGTCCCTCCAGAAAGGAGGCACCGCGCCCCGTAGGTAAACAAATGAAACTGTTTCCTGCTCTCGCCAGACTCCCACCGTCAGAACCCACGACACAGACCTGATCCTGGCACTGGAGTCTCCATGGCTGCTCCTGAGGATGCCACACAGGCAACGCACTCAGGCCGGGGCTGCAGGCTGGGCTGGCAGGAGGCTGAGCTGAGTCAGTGTCAGAGCAGCAGCTGCTGGCTCCTATCAGCAGCTGCCGCGGTGGGAGGGCTCTGCTTTGCATATCTGTGAGCAGCCTTGAGCAGAGCTGGAAATTCTCCCGTGAATATGAAATGGAAATGGAAAATTTCCAAGAGTCCTAATGGGCTCCGGTCATGCCCATCATCCACGGCTGTTAGACCCTGACTGCAGTGCCCTGGCCCTGTTCACAGCCCTCTCCAGAGCAAGAAACTCAAGCTGCGGACCAGCCTTCCTGACGCACCACAGAAGGGAAGCACAGCCTCCCGCTAACATCCAGACTCCTCCTGACAGCTGAGCAGTGCCCTGCAACACCATCACCTTTGCTGCCTCCCCTAAGAGGGCCCCATCAAAACAACCTACTGAGGGCACCCCAGGACTGGCAGGGGAGCTCTGAGCCCAGTTGCCAAGGTGAGCTCCTCCCTGAACCTCCTCCTCTGAAAAAGGGAAGGTCTATGAACTGCTCCAACCTTTCCCAGGAAAGGACAGACTCAGACAGAGGGGAAACAAGCAGGAGCAAGCGGAGATGAAAAGCTGGCAGATCTTATTCCAGCCCTTCCTTTCTTGCCCCAAGGAACCTGCGTATCACAGGTGACTGGGCAGCCTAACAAGCTCTACCAGAGCGTGACTGTGCGCACGTACGTACACACACACACACACACACACACAAGGTGCGGCTCTCCAGGGACCCACAGAGCAGTCCTCTAAAGGCCACCAGGGTGGATTACAGCAGAATCAGGACGCAAAGCTCCACTCTCCATCTGCCCTTCCGAAAGACAGCCCTGGGTGGGAAGGCTCAGAACAGACACACGGGGTCCCGGTGACTTAGATACGTGGCGTGGGTCAGGGAAATAACCGTGAGCAAAATGGCTATTTCTGTGGTGCTGTTGACATCCTGGGAAGAAGAGCCCAGAAAGGAAGGGTCAGTTGTTTACCGGGAGCTGGCTCTGGCCCTCATTTGGGCCTGAGTCACCTTCTCATGTCCATTCGTGAGGTTGTGCCTCCCTGAGCCCACATAATAGCTCCTGTGCGGACAGAGCAGGATTACGTGGTTGACACACGATCCTTGGGCCACTGCTGAGCCTTAGCTACTCAGGGATTATGACCCACCTGTCCTCACAGCTGTTTCATAAACAGTGCAGCCAGCAGGCTGCAATCAACCTAGAGCAGCGGTTCTCAACCTGTGGGTCGCGACACCTTTGGGGATCGAAC